CACATATGACAGGTTTCCCACCCTAATTATCTCTATTGCTGACCTATACCTGCTAATCAGGTCCTCACTCCTACGTCTGCCAACATCGTTGCCTCCAGCACTGAGACAGATAATAGGATTCTCCCATTACCTCTCATGATGTCATCCAGACGGCTAACAATATCCTTCATCCCTGCCCCAGGAAAACACACTCTCTGCCTCCTACTCCTATCCTTCAAGCAGAATGCCCTATCCATGTACCTAATCTGGCTATCCCCAACAACAACAATGTTTTTACCTTCCTTGGCGTCGTCCGTCGTGATGCTCCGAGTAGTCGACTCACATTCGCCAGGTAGCATTACACCACTTGTAGAATTCGTCAAGACGTTCTCGATGGTCTTCGTTGGGGTTTCTAGGGATGTCTTACTCACGTCTGCCAATGCTTCTTTGGTGCTCGTTGTGGCATTCCCAGTAGAACATTCACATTCGTCAGGTAGCACCGAGAATGAGTTGGAAGTTTCCACGGTAGTCTTCTGGTTTCTCGTTATTTCTGCCTCTCCAACCGTTTTCTTGATCTTCAGCTTGGCTCCATGTTGCCCGGCCACTGACCAAGCTCTCCTCTTAACCTGGGGACTCACAACAGAAGGATTACTACGAATCCTCTTGTTCTCCTCCGTTAATCGCCGTATGGAGCTCCATCTTAGCAACTCTGAGCTCTTCTCTCAGCTGCTGGTAAAGTTGCTCAAGAGAGGGCATCCTGGTACAGATTCACAGAGAGCACACAAACAGGTCTTCACAGAGCTAAGTACACGTCACCACTGCTAAGTACACGTCACCACTCAAGCTAAGTACACGTCACCACTGAGCTAAGTACACGTCACCACGTCTGTCTCCCTTTTTAAAAATTGGTACTACATTTACAATCTTCTGTACCTCACAGAGTTGCCCAGTTTCAATTGATGTGTTGAAGATCTTTGTTAATTACACACACAGTATCTCTGCTCCCTCTTTAAGGACCCACAGAGAGATGTCTGGTCCTACCGCCTTTGAGGTGTCAAGTTCGCATAGCAGCTTCTGCACCTCCTCCTTGGTTATATGTACCTCATCCAGCACTTGCTGGTGTACCTCCCTGTTCTGATTTCTTGGAGTCCTACTGGTTTCCACTGTAAATACTTCTTTAAATCTCGTGTTGAGCTCATGACATACCTCTCACTCGTTTCTTGTGAACTCCCCATCACCCTTCCTCAGTCTGATTACCTGGTCTTTGACTGTTGTTTTCCTCCTGATGTGGCTATACAGCAGCTTCGGGTCCGACTTGACTTGTCATTTTCATATTGTTGCTGAGCCTCCCTTCTTATCTGTACATATTCGTTTCTGGCTCTTCGGCTAATCTCTTTATTTTAATTAGTTCTCTGTCTTCTGTACATTTTCCATTGTCTAGTACACCTAGTTTTTCCCTCCCTACACCTATGGGTGAACCAATGACTCGTTCTGTTCTTCCCATTATTTCTGTTTCCCTTGGGAACAAACCTCTCCTCTGCCTCCTTACATGTTGTTGCCACATAGTCTATCATTTCTTGTACATGTTATCCTGTCAGTTCCCTCTCCCACTGAATGCCTTGCAGGAAGTTCCTCATGCCTGAGTAGTTCCCCCTTTAGTGGTTTGGTTTTTCCTAACCTATTCCTGCTACTCTCTCCACTTAAACCTCAACTATGTAGTCGAAGCACAGAACCACATGATCACTAGCTCCCAGGGGCCTTTCATACATGATATCCTCAATGTCCGAACTACTCAAGGTGAATATAAGGTCCAGTCTTGCTGATTCATACTCTCCTCTCTCTCTGGTAGTGTCTCTAACATGTTGATGCATGAGGTTTTCCAGTACCACATCCATCATCTTGGCTCTACATGTTTTGGGACCCCTATTGGGCTCCAGGTTTTCTCAGTCAATCTACTTGTCATTGAAATCACCAAAAACTAGTAACTTTGCTCCCCCCATGTGTGCTGTCCTGGCCACCTCGGCTAGTGTGTCGACCATTGCTCTGTTGCTCTAATCGTATTCTTCTCTTGGCCTCCTGCAGTTCTGTTGTGGGTTGTACATTGCTGCAATTATCACCTTATGTCCCTTAGACTGGATTGTTCCTACTAAGTAGTCCCTTTCGCCCATGTGATCCATTCCTTCCATTTTCTCAAAACTCTACTGGTTTTTAATGAGCAGTGCAACTCCTCCTCCCCCTCTCCCCCCTCTGTCTTTCTTGAGGATTTGGTATCCGGATGGAAAGATTGAATCTGTTATTATTCTGGTGAGTTTTGTTACTGTGAGTGCTATTATGTCTGGGGATGTCTCCTTGATTCTTTCAGCCACTCCTCATACTTATTTGTTATTCCATCTGCATTTGTATACCAAACCTTCAACTTACTTATTTGTTATTCCATCTGCATTTTATACCACATCTTCAACTTCTCTTCTAAGACTGCGATTTGGGAGGTATGTTGGGGTTGGGGAAGTGGGAGACCTGATAAGGATCTATGGGTAGTTGCTGTGAGGGTGGAGTTTGTAATGCAGTGGTTGGGGGCATTGGATATGGCATGGGTGTTTTGGTTTAGAGTGTTTGGTTGCACTGGGGTTGACCTGGTTGGGGGGCTTCTATAGGAAGTTGTTAGGGAGGCTGTATTTGATCTTCTTCCTTGGTCTGGGATCTCCTGTCAGTCTCCTCCATCCACTCTCTTTCCTCCTTTCCCCCATCTCTCTCAGTTTCTGCCTTTCTTCTTGTGTTCTGTTGTGGTCAAGATACACCTTCCTGTATGCAGGCATGTCCCTAAATCATGCTTTCTCCTGCAGGATCCTGTTCCGAGACGATTCTGCCTTGAAAGTCACTTTCACTGGCCGGGTCCTTTTTTTTTACAAACCCCCCTATTCTCCGAAAATTTTCCAGCTGGTCATGTCGTCTTCTCCTATTGCTTTTATGATGCTTTCAATTGTTTTTTTTTCCTTGTTATTTGCTTCATATGTTTCCCATTCAACTTCCTGGAGCCTATGCACAAAGACTGACCTCACCCTTTCATTCTCCCACTGCATATCCTTGTGTATCCACTCATTCAATTTAATTTCCTCCATTACATCTTTCCTTTCTTCAGTTCCACTAGCTAATGTACTTGGGCTCAGTGGCCTGTCATTTTCCCTTCTTGGCTTTCCCTGGGCTCTGCTGTGGTCTGTTAGAGCCTCCACATATAGCTTAGCTCTTTCATTTATTACAGTCTCCTCTGATAGAGCTTCTACATACAGTTTTGCTCCTTTCCCTACAGTCCCCTTATTTGTGACTGAGGTAGCAGTCTCTGATGTCAATCCCAAAATGTTCTTTAGTTCTTTAGGCTGTTTCAGATTTTTCAGTTCCTCTTCTAAACTCTGTATCCTAGCCTCTGCTGCTTTGACTTGCACCTTCCACTTCCTGCTTTCCTTATCTATCCTCTCTTCCATTCTCATGCTAAGTTCTTCTAGTTTCTTTTCCCATTCATGTTTCTTTTTTATGAGCTCTTCTGCCCAATCTTCCTTTGCAGATTCCTCCTCCAGTCCCTTGGTTTTCCTTCCTGCTCTCTGGCAACCCATTTTTGTTTTATTTTGATTGCCTCAGAGTGGGAAACCTATGTAATTATGAGTGTTAGGTTAGTAGTGTGTTTGTCAGTGTTGGGGGGCTAGGTAGAGGAGAGACTGTGGCTATGTGGGAGAAGGGTGGGGAGGGGGATTTAGGGGGGAATATGGAGAGTGGGAAGGAGGGAGAAGCAAGTGGGTGAATGGGAGAGAGAGGGGGGGTGGAGGGAGAGGTGGGGAGGGGGAGGGTGAAAGAGGGAGGTGTTGGATCAGGGGAAGGAGTGAGATATTGGTGGGGAAGGGGAGTGTATATGTGAGTCTGGATATGTGTGTGTGTGTGTGGTGTGTGTGTGTGTGTGTGTGTGTGTGTGTGTGTGTGTGTGTGTGTGTGTGTGTGTGTGTGTGTGTGTGGCATGTGTGTGTGTGTGTCTGTGTGTGTGTGTCTAATTGTGTGTAGAATTATGTGTGGCTTTATTATGTGTCTGAAAAGTAGGTGAATTGTGGGTTGGAGTGTAATGTGGAGTCCCAGTTGTCTCTTGCCTGATCACAACTTCTTGTGACCTGACCCCCACCCTCCTGGGACTTGACCTGCACCTACTTACAATGTTTCCATTTATGCTTGTTCTGCCACCTAGCTTATAGTAACTTACTCGCCTTGTTCAATGGATTACCAATTGCTATTCCTTATTGAATACTTGAGTGCCTATTCTTTATTGTGCTATGAGAGCTGACCATTCACAATCAGCTAGGTGGTTAATTGGAACCTGAAACCCCACACCCATACAACCACTCATAGGTGAATACAGTACTTGCACTGCAGCTGTAGCAGCCAGTAGATTGTCCAGCTCAATGTGACGTCCTGGCCAAGATCCACCTCAATTTTTTCTCGTTATATAATGTACCCTATTCACTGTATTTCTCTCACTGGTCACACGATTGTTTCACTTTATTATACTTCTTGGGTGACACGTGGCAACGTCACCTGCCCTGCCCGCTCTGACTGCGCACCACTTTTTACTTTCTAGATCTCTTACAAAATTGCGGCTCTCCCTACACTTATGTGGCTCAGGCAGATTATAAATCACTTCAAGGAATTGTTCACTACCCTAGCACACTTAGCTACCCTTCAGATCACTTGGGTAGCCCTCGAAAACACTTATATTCTCAGAGCACGGAAGGCATGACTCGCGCACGCACTGACTATACTGTGTGTGTGTATGTGTGTGTGTGTTTGTATGTGTGTGTGTATGTGTGTGTGTGTGTGTGTGTGTGTATGTGTGTGTGTTTGTGCGTGTGTGTGTGTGTGTGTGTGTAGTTAGTGTTTGCAGTGGAAATATTGACGGTAAAATCAGAGCTGAGACATTTTTGGTTAATGAACGGAAATTATCATCATAAGAGAGGTCAGACAATTGGCTAGAAATTAAGAATAAGTAAGTAGGTAAGTTTATTCAGGTATACACAAATACAGTTACATAGATTATCATACATAGCAGCACATGTGTAGAGAACCTTGGATAACCCAAAAAAGTCAGAGTAAATATTCCATTGGGGTTCTTTGAGAAGAAATGTTTTCAAAGACCAATTTAGGGAGAAGTGGATATTTATATGATAACATATTTATATAAATTTAGGTATTTTGGATACATTTCAAACAAATCTCATATATTAAGTTATTGTTTCCTTCTAACTTATATTTGTTTGTTCTCAGCAGGCGTGAACAATATTCCAGAGCGAGTTTGTTCCCATCCTGTCATCTTATTAAACATCTCTTTGGAAGCTGTGTTTGTGATGTCTACATCGCAGTTAGGGATGCAACCCTTACTAGCTAATAGTCTGGCTGCTATCCTTGTTACCAGAGTTGCATGGCCCAGTCTCCTGAAGCCTTTCTCTGTCCCTAACATACCCAGAGTACCACAAACGGTGGGAGAAATCCAAGATACAGGTATTTCATTGTCTCCAGCGTAGGGTAAATTCTGGATGTCCAGGAACACTTCCTTTGTTACACTTGGATCAAGGTACACACCGACCGCTGGCACATTCTCAGTCAGCCTCCACATGAGCTCCTCTGGTATATTCTTCAAGTAGGTGTTCTTCAGTAACATATGTTGCAGTCCTGCCTTCCCCAGTCGACAGACACGGAAACCTGACCCACATCTGCAGAAATGTAGACAGTGGTCAACGATTATGAAATATCTTGGTAATGACCTGTTCTGGGTGGAATGTTTAATATTATTTTCTAACGTAGTTTCCTCAAAAACTTGTAGATGAAACGTTACATTTTAGAAAAATTTAAATATCTACAAGTTACATTTCTCAAGAGAATATAAAATTCTAAATTCTTTTGGATAAATTTAATGATGAGTGCGAAGTGGTTGGTAAAAATGTGGGAGAAATGAAGAGGATACATGGGCAAATCTAGATTTTATTAATGACGAAATATTCAGCCTCTTCAGAAAGCTTTTGTATCTAAATACATGAGGGACTTTTATACTAGAGAGAGGAAAAAGTAGAAAGGTTATTTTAAGGTTTTCAGATCATAAGCTTTAATAGGTGTTCACTCTCTTAGTCATGAAGCCATAGAAGAGATGCAATAATTAAAGACAACATAAGTGGGCAGGGACCACTAATAGAAGTAGGTAAAGCAATAGAGTCAGAATATCAAAATAGTCCTGAAGACAATATCTTTTCTAACAAGATTCCAATAGGTAGATGTGATAGACAAGTCAGACAAGGCTTTTTTCTACTGGAGACAATAGTGGGAGAGGTAATTCAGAGGATTTTCAATCCGTTAGTTGTGATAGACGTTCAGTTTCTTAGCTTATAAGCAATCTCAAGCAGAGAGATGATGGAGAAGAGGTTTGCTAGTTATAAACATCATAGATGGTTGTGAGTCACTACTGGAAGTTGGTCTTTGTCATTAGGGAGCAGTCAGGTTCACGCGAGCAGTGCAAAAAAAAATCGAAAAAATATGAAAATGGAGTTATTGTTACCAAAAAATAGCTGAACTTTCTGGCTACACTTTGGTATAATTATTATCCTTGTACGATGTTTCTAAAAGGAATTACAACCATTTATAACAGGCATGGTGACAGTGCTGACGCGACATAGTGCGCAAGAAGCGCTGACTCAGCTTTGTTGACGTTTTTGTTACGTTTTTCCCCGTGTTATTTTTATCGTTTTCTTATATCTTTATGTCTAATATAATACAAATTCACCATCTGAGATCATGCCAGAGTGGGTGGAGCTAATATGATCAAGTAACCAATCAAGGTACCCTGGGTATATTGCATAAAATGGCCGACACCTCCAGCCAACAAAATATTCCATACCCACGCTAATATCAATTATAAGGCTTATTTATCTATCACAATTGATCTATTATGACATAATGCAATATAATAATAGCATATAAACATAAAAAGTACACCTTAAAAAAAAATATATAGCATAATATGACGCCCCAAGGAAAAAAATTCTATCGATATTTCCCCTAAAGGTGAAGAGAGGGTCCGACCTCTCTCATCAGTGATGATAGAAAACGGATTTACAATGGTTAACTGTAATAAACACTCGTAGGTCGCGGAAAAAGTGTAAAATAAGGCGAATTTTTCGGGGAAAAAAATTATTTCCCGGGTAGCGGGGTTGCCGCGCGCTTCGGCCTATATCTCGAAAGTAACTTATTTACCTATTTAGGGGGAATGCATCCTTATTTATGAATTAATTGACTTGATTTTCACAACAAACATAGGAGAATGATTGATTTACACGAACATACGTACCTTTCTGAACTATCCCAAATATTTTTAGATTTATGTGGGAAACAAGACCGACATCTTCCAATATGACAAAAAAGTTATGAAACTTATTTTTTTTAGCATGAAGATAAGGTTTATTTTAGAAAAGGTACGTAGCTCATGATGGAATTAGAGGTGTTCTATCAGCAGCAAGTGTCAAAACCACTTTTCCAAGTACCGCTGAGAAGGACTCCCCTGCCAAATGCAATTTTTCGTAAATTTTGCATATTTCATTTACTTTTTGGCCGATATGATTGAAACTTCAGCACAGGATGTTTTATATAAGCTTCTAATAGTACACCAAAAATGAACGTAATCGGTTGAAAAATAAAGAAGTCGATATGTTACACCTGACTTCCCCCTTAGGTAGACCAGAGGTTTACATTAAAGTTTTAGAAAATATCATCAATATTTTAGAATATATCATCAATATGCTGCCTTGTTATATAAATATCATTACAATAAGGGTAAACAGTACCAACTAGTTGATGAATTTGACACATGTGCGACACCTGTTTATCTCAGTTGACGAGACACAATGAACTTTATCATTCTAATGCACAGGCAACTTTTGCACTGGACAAATTTGTAGAAGTGAAGAGGTAACTTTAAGGTGGTAAGTCCGTAGCCTTGATAAAAGGTGTTCAGTTTCTTAGCCTTGATAAATAAACGATGCTATGAGAGGGGATTGAACTTATGGCAATTGAGTCATGAAACTACAAGCCTCGCGTAGAAAAATGTTCAGTCCCATTGCCTTTATCTCTGTAAAACTGAAGCATGAGAATGGAGATATTCTAGAGCAAGAGGAAAGGTGCAGTAGTTGAAAACAACATCATAGATGGGTAGGTGCCACTAGTGAATTAAGTCATGCTAACAAGTATGGTTAGAAGTTCATAAAATTCCGTGGTGTTACTGTTTCAGAAGAGTATTGCAACATTAATATACTGCAACACTGATAAGTTGATGAGTAAACTCATGTGCAACACTTTGCTATCTTTACTGACATTATATTTTACCTTCATATCTGGCTTTTTCAATCTAATACAAAAGCAACAAGTGGATACCACTCACTTGTGATGATGTTTACAACTGCTGCAACTCGCTTGATGTTCAAATGCATAACTCTCCATCTTCATGTCTTTATGCTGGATGAATGCCAAGGGAATGATCACCTTGTAATGAGGCTAATTTACTTTATGCCTTTTATTGAGGCTCAGGAAGTTAATACCTCGAAATTACCTCTCCATCTCTTTCACTGTTGCCAGTATAAAAGTTGCTACTGTAAAAAAAGTGCTGTAGGGATGAAAGGTGTGTGAATGAAGATGCTCATGTGCTGTACATGTGTCCAGTTCGTCAACCTGTTAATTAAAGGAGAAGTTAGTAGTAATGAAGGGAAAAGATGACCTTGAGGAAGGTTGTAGAAGGAGGCTGTAAAAATGATAAGTGCGACGACTACCTCAACACATTAAGTAAGAATACTCTCATTGTTGGGAATTTGCAGATTAAATATATACAAAGACAGATCACAATGAAACTGGTGCAGAAGGGCGACATGGAGTGTTTCCCTGCAGTTGGTGTAGTTAGCTGATTAGATAACATCATAAACCATTTCACGGGTGGGGATAGAACCCGAAATTAGAGAGTCTCAAAACTCCGGACAGTCGCATTAGCCACTGGACCAGCTAGGTATATTAAGATTCATCCAACTAGGTATATTTCTACACAATAGGAAGGTTAGCATAGGCACCACTGTGACCATAAATGCAAATTTTTACAGAAGAATCTCCCATTACAATGGTCGTGACGAACTCTACCTCAAGTCCCCTTAAAGCCATCAACATGACTCACGAAATTGTAATAACAAACCATACCACGAGGAGACTTGAGCTGGAGTTCATCATGGCCAGACTAGCTGGAGATTCGTCTGTAAAAACTTGCATTTTTGGTCACAGTGGTGCCTGTGCTCTCCTTCCTATGGTGTAGAAATATACCTAGTTGGATGAATCTTATTATGGCTAGCTGACCCAGTGGCTAACACGACAGTTTGTTTGCAATCGTGTCATCACGATTTCGTGAGTCAAGTTAGATAACATCATGTCAGGTAAGAAGGATATTTCACTATTGCAGGTAATAGAGATGAATACTGAGGAGGTTTTCTTACTAAACACAGGATAGCTACTGAATAAATTAGGCCAAAATAAGAGAGCCTAATGTGTCTTTTATTTGCCTAGAAGAGGAATTAGTGTAGATTGTTGGCTAGACAAGTACTGCAAAAAAAAAAAAATACTCATTAACAACTTGGAAAGTTTCTGTAGAAAACATGACATGTATGCAAGGGATGCATTTTTTTCTGGAGAAAGGTGACAGCATTAGTTCATCTGAACAAGCTGTTGCTTAATAATGGTGGAAGATAAATGTATGAGTGTGTAGGTGAGAAACAAAGAGAGAGAAGTTCTAACAGTGAAAGGAGCAAGAAATACCAGGAAATATTAGAGAAAATTTTAAGAAACAAGAAAGCTCATAAAATGTTTGGATATATAAATAATGATTGAGTAGCATCACAAAAATAGACAAGAGAGGTAAGGCGAGAGCTTCATAGCATCTGGTATATAAAGTGCAGAAGAGAAAGAAATATATTAAACTAAGACTAGTGACATGTTCAGGAAACACAGATGTAGTTGTAATAACTGACACTTAGTTCAGTATGAAGAATTGTGACATTCCTTGTGAATACCACATTTTTTTAACACATGGGCCATCACTCACCGAGGTTCCATGTACACAAAAAAATGAAAAAAAAAGACATTCTTCATCTCTCAAACAGCTGTCTTGCCAGAACTGAATACACATTATAGTTCAAATAACCCTCTTGAAATCAACATCCCCACTTTATTTTTCAGAGACCAGGCCTCTCCAGGACTAAGGAAAGGTTAATTGATTTTCCGTTCACGAACGTTACCTTGTTCACAATATAGATGTATGTGTAATATAGCACAAACAATATAGCTCATAATATAGCAGCACGTCTTCCTAAAAAAATCAATCACCTGCATTCACTTTGATATATTGCTAATACAAGCCAACTGAATGTTCAACACACAGCACTCCAACTCTTCCTAGGACCATCAATACTCCCTGGTGTGGGTAGCATCCTGGGGGCAATATTGAAAGACCACAATTGAAATAAGACAAAAAATACTCCATGATATATTGACTTTCTTGGGTTTTCCTGGGTGTCTAACCCTCCAGGGTTAAAAATCTTACCAAAATCTTATAGTATCATATAATACAACATTCGTTATTCTATTCCGTTCCATCTTCTGTAAATTCCAAAACCACATTAACAACTCCTCATAACCTTGGTATTTTAATTCCTACCCTCCGAATCCTCTGTATAATTTTCCTACCATTATTAGAAGACCAGAAATGGAAGTCAAAATATAAATAAGAACAAAAAATATGAGACTAAAGCTACAATGGCTTCAAGGAGCATCCGATATGGCTATACAACAGCTTCTGGTCAGACTTTGCTTTCAGTGCTATGTTGTTTTTGTATTATCGCTGGACCTTACTCCTTATCTGTGCAAACTCGTTTTGGCTCTTCGACTTTCTGTTTAAGTTCCTGTGTTCCTTGTCTTCTATAATTTTTTCATTCTCTAGCACACTTAGTGTTTACCTCTCTACACCTTCTGGTGAACAAAAGGCTCGTTCTGGACTTCCAATTATTTATATTGCCCCTGGAACGATCCTCTTCTCTGCCTCATGGCAGTCCATCAAATTCTTTTCATTTTCCCACCAATTATATTTCCACACTGAACCTCTTGCAGGAAATTCCTCATGCCTGTGTAGTCACCACCCTTTGTGTGTGTGTGTGTGTGTGTGTGTGTGTGTGTGTGTGTGTGTGTGTGTGTGTGTGTGTGTGTGTGTGTGTGTGTGTGTGTGTGTGTGTGTGTGTGTGTGTATGTGTGTGTACTCACCTAGTTGAGGTTGTAGGGTCGAGTCCAAGCTCCTGCCCCCGCCTGTTCACTGGTCGCTACTAGGTCACTCTTCCTGAACCATGAGCTTTGTCGTACCTCTGCTTAAAGCTATATGTGGATTCTGCCTCCACTACATCCCTTCCCAAACTATTCCACTCCCTGACTACTCTGTGGCTGAAGAAATACTTCATAACATCCCTGTGATTCATCTGTGTCTTCAACTTCCAACTGTGTCCCCTTGTTGCTGTGTCCAATCTCTGGAACCTCCTGTCTTTGTCTACCTTGTCAATTCCTCTCAGTATTTTGTAAGTCGTTATCATGTCCCCCCTATCTCTCCTGTCCTCCAGTGTCGTCAGGTTGATTTCCCTTAACCTCTCCTCGTAGGACATACCTCTTAGCTCTGGGACTAGTCTTGTTGCAAATCTTTGCACTTTCTCTAGTTTCTTTACATGCTTGGCTAGGTGTGGGTTCCAAACTGGTGCCGCATACTCCAATATGGGCCTAACGTACACGGTGTACAGGGTCTTGAACGATTCCTTATTAAGATGTCGTAATGCTGTTCTGAGGTTTGCTAGGTCCCATATGCTGCAGCAGTTATTTGGTTGGTGTGAGCTTCAGGAGATGTGCCTGTTGTTATACTCACCCAAAGATTTTGTTCCTTGAGTGAGGTTTGTAGTCTCTGGCCCCCTAGACTCTACTCCATCTGCGGTCTTCTTTGCCCTTCCCCAATCTTCATGACTTTGCACTTGGTGGGATTGAACTCCAGGAGCCAATTGCTGGACCAGGTCTGCAGCCTGTGCAGATCCCTTTGTAGTTCTGACTGGTCTTCGATCAAATAAATTCTTCTTATCAACTTCACGTCATCTGCAAACAGGGACACCTCGGAGTCTATTCCTTCCGTCATGTCGTTCACAAATACCAGAAACAGCACTGGTCCTAGGACTGACCCTTGTGGGACCCCGCTGGTCACAGGTGCCCATTCTGACACCTCGCCACGTACCATTACTCGCTGCTGTCTTCCTGACAAGTATTCCCTGATATGTACTCACCTATTTGTGGTTGCAGGGGTCGAGTCATAGCTCCTGGCCCCGCCTCTTCGCTGATTGCTACTAGGTCCTCTCTCTCCCTGCCCCATGAGCTTTATCATACCTCGCCTTAAAGCTATGTATGGTTCCCGCCTCCACTACGTCACTTTCAGGGTATTCCACGGCCAGACTACTCAATGACTGAAGAAATACTTCCTAACATCCCTTTGATTCATTTGAGTCTTCAACTTCCAATTGTGACCTCTTGTGTCTGTGTCCTTTCTCTGGAACATCCCGTCTTTGTCCACCTTGTCCATTCCGCACAGTATTTTATATGTCGTTATCATGTCTCCCCTGACCCTCCTTTCCTCCAGTGTCATCAGGCCGATTTCCCTCAACCTTTCTTTGTAGGACAATCCCCGAAGCTCTGGACTAGTCTTGTTGCAAACATTTGCACTTTCTCTAATTTCTTGACGTGCTTGACTAGCTGTGGATTCCAAACTGGTGCTGCATACTCCAGCATGGGCCTGGCGTAAATTGTATACAGAGTCTTGAACGAATCCTTACTGAGGTATCGGAACGCTATCTGTAGGTTTGCCAGGCGCCCGTATGCTGCAGCAGTTATCTGATTGATGTGCGCCTCAAGAGATATGCTCAGTGTTATACTCACCCCCCAGATCTTTTTCCTTGAGTGAGATTTGCAGTCTTTGGCCATCTAAACTATATTGTGTCTGCGGTCTTATTGGTCCATTCCCCATTCTTCATGACTTTGCATTTGGCAGGGTTAAACTCAAGGAGCCAGTTGCTGGACCAGGCTTGTAGCCTGTCCAGGTCTCTTTGTAGTCCTGCCTGATCCTCATCCGATTTGATTCTTCTCATTAACTTCACATCATCTGCAAACAAGGACACTTCTGAGTCTATCCCTTCCGTTATGTCGTTCACATATACCAAGAACAGCACAGGTCCTAGGACTGACCCGTGTGAAACCCCGCTTGTCACAGCCGCCCACTCTGACACCTCGTCACGTACCATGACTCGTTGTTGCCTCCCTGTCAGGTATTTTCTGATCCATTGCAGTGCCTTTCCTGTTATGTGTGCCTGATCCTCTAGCTTTTGCAGTAACCTCTTGTGAGGAACTGTGTCAAAGCCCTTCTTGCAGCCCAAAAAAATGCAGTCGATCCACCCCTCTCTCTCGTCTTACTTCTGTCACCTTGTCATAAAACTCTAGTAGGTTTGTGACACAGGATTTTCCTTCCTTGAAACCATGCTGGTTGTCAATTATACACTTGTTTCTTTCCAGGTGCTCCACCACTCTCCTCCTGATGATCTTGTCAATTACCTTGCATACTATACACGTTAGTGATACAGGTCTGTAGTTTAGTGCCTCATGTCTGTCTCCCTTTTTAAAAATTCGGACTACATTTGCCATCTTCCATACCTCAAGGAGTTGCCCAGTTTCAATTGATGTGTTGAAGATCTTTGTTAATGGCACACACAATATCTTTGCTCCCTCTTTAAGCCGGCCTCAGGTGTGTAACTATAAATATAAATGGTTTGTGTGATGGCGTGAAACGTGAGTACTTTAGCGTGTTTTTGAATAGATATAAGGTAGACGTTGCTTTTGTGCAGGAACATAATTTTAAGCTTGGTTACCAAGCTTTTGTG